CTTAAAGCCCGGTTTAGTAGAAGACGATGTTGCTAAACCCGGTGTTACAGCTGCTGGTGGTATGGGTTTACTGGATGCAACGGAAGCTGATGAAGCCGCTTGGGGTCATGATGCAGACTTAGAACTCGATGGTAAGGTTTTTCATCAGCAATTTTACACATCTCCCAACCGTCTTCCTTATATTGTCTGATTTCATTAATGAACTGCTTTTCATCTCTTTCCAGAAGGTGAAGGCTTTAAAGATGTTTTGGATGACGATGAGAAAGGTGTAGGTGATGATGGTGCCAGTGCAAAGGAAGATGGTTGGGATTTGGACGATGCCGATTTGGAGCTTCCCAGTACACTGCAAACCGTGGGTGGTCCAGCAGAAACCACAGCCGAATCAACTTTTGTGGCTCCACCTGTTGGTCGTGTACCCTCGCAGTACTGGAGCGATAACAGTCATTTGGTAGCCGATCAAGTAATGGCTGGAAGCTGGAACGAAGCAATGCGTTTACTCAATTCTCAAGTACGTAAAGACTCGCGTTCTTCGTGCATTTACTTCATTACCTGTCCATGCATCGTAATGTTCTACTACATTATTATTTTAGGTTGGTGTGGTTTCCTTTGAACCCTATCGTCCCCTGTTCATGGCACTGTATGAAGCTTCACGTTCGGTCAGTATTGGTCTACCCTCTACACCATCTGTTTTCATTTATCCTCAACGAAATTGGTAAGCACGTTTGTAGTTTATCACTGTTATATTTTGTCTTTTGTAAAAGTACACCACTTTGCTCCTATGCTCATCAAGCGTTTGAAGAATAACGGAGAGAGGTGGTGGGTAGGAAAGTGTACAGGGATGGAGAAAGCTGCAGCAATAGTTAATAGTCGCACTCTGCCTTCTTATTATGAATATGGGCGTGATTGAGTTAAGGAGGCATCCGATGACCCTGATTTGTCATCAGCAGTGCCATATTAATCGATGGGCTGAACATTTTGAGGTTCAATTCCGAGTGATGATACTGACTATACAGACGATATTGTACTGTTGAGTGAATATCTGGGTAAGTTGCAAGCTCTTCTGAATAGCTTCACTGCCAGCTCAACCATGTTCGGTATGCGTTTTACACCTTCAAAGTATAAAATGTTACTAAAACTGAGTTGGTCCGGCACCCAGCCTGACACCAACTAGGAGAGTAATAGACCAAGTGGACATATTTTGTTATTTGGGCAGCTACATCTCACTCGGTGGAGGCATCATGGATAAGGTGTCAGCTCGCATACACAAGATTGGTATTTACTAACTTGAGACATATGTGGTGCCACCGCGACGTCCGGTTATCTGTGAAGGGTCTAGTGTATGCTGCCTCAGTTCGGCCATTTCTGTTATACGGCGTAGAAACTTAGTCATTGGGAAAGTAGGATAAAAATAGACTGTCGATGTTTGAACATCACTGTCTACGCATCATTACACGAATCTGGTGAGACAACCGGACGAGCAACGCTGAGGCTAGGCGCGGTCGACCTCCATAGATAGCGTTGGTTGGTTTATGTGTTACGTACATCACCAAATAGATTGTAGTGGGTGGAATAAAGCCAAAGGCGGTCAAACTAAACCCTGGCTTGAGGGTATGGAGATCCTTACCAGGCGACTCAGTCATATAGGTCGCGTTAGGCTGCCTGAATGACCTCGTGATCATTGCCATCAACGATTAGATGCACTGAGTGATATGACTGAATGTCATAAACGGTAGCGCTGGTGCATCTCAATTTCTTGGAAACTGAAATTCTCCCTTTTCACTTCAACTCTACTTTCAGCTTTCCTGTCTTTTTCTTACTACTTTATCCAAGTGGGTGACGAAAAGACAGCAACCAAAACCAGCACATGAAAGTGCATGGCTAATGGTTGTACAAACTGAACTGATGTGATGCTGCTCTGATTACTATGATCGTTGTCCGTTCGCTTGACCTAAGTCAGTTCTCCGGGGATGGTCAATAAATTTCTCGCTGTTATTCGAACTATGTTTGGCAAATGACCAGACTTTTTTATTTTATTCTTGGCTTCATACACAGAAAAGGGTGCATTTACGCCACTGACTTCGGTTCGATGCCATATCCCGTAGTGTCCTCAACCAAAGACTATTTGAATTTAGACGTAAACCGTAACCGTGATATTCTTCTGTCATCATGCAGTTACGTAACTGGACTTGTGCCTCGACAGTGTCCCCGGGTTTTTCTCACCATAGTGCAGTGGCTTATGTTGAAAATGGCAGATTATTCTATCCATTCAGACCGAAATTATAATCATGTCTGCATGAAGGAAACATATTCGATCCACTTTCTCGATGCGATTTTGATATGTTACCGAACGGAATAATTTTTCCCTATTTCGTCACTTCCAGGAAGAAAACATCCGCAAATACAGCTCTACCAACAACAGTTCTGTCTCTGAACTACTTGCTCTCGCGATTGCAACAAGCTTATCAGCTGACGACGAAAGGCAAATTCCAGGAAGCCATCGATCGATTCCGAACAATTTTACTATCCGTGCCTTTGTTGGTGGTCGAATCGTCTGCTGAAGAGTCGGAGGCCAAGAGTTTGATCAATGTGTGCAAGGAATATATTATCGGTCTCAGCATGGAACTGGTACGCAAGGCAATGCCAAAAGAAAAGCTAGCCGATCAGGTGAGTTTGGCTTCGAACCCGGTTCCGTCGTATTTCTATCACCCCGTCTTCCTTCCATTAACTAGTTATTGTACACACAAAGGTTGTCAATAGACATTTGAATGTTGAGGCCTTCCACTTGCCCGTTTTTGCTGATATCGACTGAACCGAAAACGTGGCATTCCAGCCAGCTGAAAACGTCGTCTTGTAGCGGCCTTTTATTCCGGATCTTAAGATGTTTTTGTTCTCGTTTTCACTACGCCCTTTACCCATCTATCCGTTAGTCATTTGCTATCTACCTATCGATTTGAGGATCATGGGGATCTCTTCGTTAGAATAAAACCCCAGACACTGTCAGGAAACTGTAAACACACATCGGCAGTCGCACCGATGAGACAAGGAACAAACCGATATTTGGATGAGTTGACCCGGGAATTTGGTAAAATATCATCGGATCTCGTTAGTTGCAGTAACTGATCGAAATCTTCGACTAGTCAGCAAAAGGTGGGAAAGGTGTCACTTTCTCCCAAGATCTCACTTAGACTTCACATTTAAATTCTACTTTTAAAAAGATTCGACGATTTGTTTCTTCATTTCCCGTCTGTATGCTTGAAAAGTTCCACTGTACTTACTCACCCGATTTGTATATTCTTATGTTGTTACTAATCTTCTCTGCTGCTTCCCAGTTTTATTTGCCGGTCTTAGAGTTAAAGATTACACAATTCTACGCCGGTCTATTAAAGTTATTTCTTGCACAAGCGGTATTCCCTATTTGCACTTGCTTAGCTTTATCGCCGACAAACAGTTGACCTCTTGCGGAAACTTCTGCAACAATATTCCATCAGATATCACTCACCCCATACATACAGAACCTAAGCAATACTTAATCACTTCTGTAACTGGATGTCGTTATAAACTTGTGTATGCTTGTATCACTCCCTACCTTTTGTCCGTTATCCCATATCTTTCGAGATTTATGATTCTAAATGCACCAGTTAGAGACAACTTTTTGAATTTCCTGCGCAATTGATACCCATTTTCAAACGTTTACGCCACATTCCTTTGAATTTACAATGCTGTTTTTCACTTTTTCTTTGTGAATATGCGATGATAAATGATCCTGGAGTGCAAGAAGCTGATAATTTATCCATTAGGATGAATAAAGCGATTTTTGACTTGACTTGATAAGCAGCTGATCTGTAAAACCGAATGTCGATCGGAGCTTTATTACTAACAACAACGGGTAGTTAACGTTCAAAATGATCTGTCGATGTCCTAGTTGCTTACCGGTTTCGTGGATCATTTCGTTACCTCACGCTCCAAGTTATTCTTTCTCATTGTGCACCGCGACCGTTCTTTTTTTCAGATTCGAAGCGTAGAGCTGGCGTGCTACTTTACCCATTGTCGCCTAGAAACTCCGCATCTCATTCTGACTCTGCGCACCGCAACCAATGCGCTGTATAAATTAAAGAACTATCGTTCGGCTGCCGCCATGGCTAGGCGTTTGCTTGATTTGGGACCCTCAATGGAAGTAGCCACACAAGTGAGAAAGGTGTTACACGCATGTGAGATCGCCACGCCGNCATCAATTGGCTTACGATCCACGCAATCCGTTCGAACTGTGCGCAGCTACCTATGTTCCTATCTATCGGTGAGTAACGCTCAACACTTGTCGTGATCCACGTTTCTTCTGGGTTTTTTTTGTACTCACATTATCTTCCCGTTATCAGTGTCATTTTACATTACCTTTTGCATGCTATCTAAATGTAGAATCACTATTTTCATCGTACAGCGAAATACAATGAGGCGAACTCCACTGATCGCTACCAAACGCGCAATGCATGCAAAGTTAGTGGTAATATGTAAGATGGACAGTGATTGAGCCTACTTTGAGGGAGAGGGAAAAAGGTGAACCTCTACGGGTAACACATAGAGTACACAATCGAACTCTGCATACATACCGTTTCAAGCATTTTGACCANGTTAAGTCAGGTCAAAGTAAGCCTTGTGCCCGTAGGGTGACAACAAGAACGCCACTGTTGTCGGTTTGCTGCCATGACCTTCAGTGTCTCCAACCAATCAGTTTTAGTCTTTCGAATCCCATCCTGGAAGCTACGAGACACCTACTCTACCTAATGGCTCTGTGCATTTAGTGTAGTTTCCCTGAGACAATAATGACTGTCCTTGGAATATCTCATAGTTATCTGAGGTATCCAACCCATGGGTACATAGAAACCTCTATCGAACAATGAAACAAAGAGAGGGACTGTTCGTCACAACCGGGTTTAAGCTGATGATCTTGAAATATGACTGTTGTCTTATCCCGTCATTACCGGCCACACTGCGTTTGCGGGCAATTACTGAACATCACGTTACTGTTTTTGCTGTTTATGATGAGATCACAGAAAATCGATAGTTTGAACCAGTCTGTATGACCCAAGTTTTAGTTTCATTATTTCATGCCCGCGTGGTAACGCAAATTATTGATGTGCCGTGCAACGGCTCACCGGAACAACCAACTTCCTAGTCACAAACAACTGTTGTGTGGAGAAAACCATCAACCCATTAGTTTTGCTCATACAACAGGCAAGTCACTTGATATTTGCATCGCGGTTGGAATAGTAATTTTGCACAGTACCACGAACGTTTGGTTTGCTTTTTTATGATAGACACGGATCAGTTTTTTTTTTAAATTTCACACGGTTAAATGTTGGCAGGGTGAACTCCATACTCAGTTATGAGAACATGCGATCTAGACCTAGCAAATATGCCCAATACTAAAACTGATACAATCATTCCACAATTTCCTTGTGACCCACCAGAACTAAGTTACGTTGTTGTTCACTCCTCACTCACGAAGTGCATTTTGTAGTTTCTTCTGTATCTATCCCCCGATATCTCGCCTCACATACCTCATATTTACGCGCGTTATCCTACTTCTTTTCCTCATTCTCTTACGATTGACAGAGGGAAAAATTGCGTGAAGGATCCCCTCAGCGGTGCGTGTTACGTGCCTTCGATGAAAGGCAAACTGTGTCGAGTGACTCAGGTGAGATCACCATTTGTCTCACATCAAGTGCTTTCGTTGTTCCTGCTAATGATCACCTCAAGAGATGAATCATTTTGTCGTTCATACCTAGTCCAAATTCACTCATTCGATCACAAAACTTGGCGCTTCACACGCAGACTTGAATCACATCTGATACGAGCAGTTGATACTTTGGTAAACTAGGGTGCAAAAAAGTAACGTTTGTTGTTAGCTCCTGGAAGGACGTCCATTTTGAGAATGGCGACTGTGGCATATGAACTTTTTGATACTTTTACCAAGAAGATGCATAGACCTCTTGGAATTGTGAAGAACATTTATTTTGTATTTGGTCCAGCAACGCAAGAGATGCGGCTTTCTGTGGTACCGTTAGCCTCATCTTGTTAAACGTTGCTTAAAATTCTGCTCACTGTCCTTCTGGGGATCCTAGGGCTGTGGCTTCTGGTCTTACTGACGTTGTCGTAGCCATCAGTGAGGCATCTTGCTATGCTGGATTCCAGTCAATTGTGCGCAGGGGAGTAAGCTTAACCGCTTGTCAAAATGAAACAACTGAGAAACTATAACTAATCTCCGGATACCATCAACCGGGATTGGTCACTGTTCAAGAGTGCTATGCATTCCGCTCGCCCAGTGAGTCCTAGTCTAACGGGTCCTGTCGTGATTCCCTGGATTTCCACTGATTCTCTCAATCCCGATCGGTAACGGGCATAATGGAGCACGATTCGTAACAAGACTTAAACTCAACGCAAGCCTTTGCAGTGACCGTGGATTTGGTCTCGACATGCATCACAGATGGAGCGTTCTATCGTTCTATCAATTGGAGAGCACTGCGTGTGAGCGAAGTGATCTGTGCGGCTGGCAATGATATATAGTCAGGTTCTGGATGTTTTCTACCGAGTCGTTATCCTGCAGGTTAGTGCTGAGATGAACGAGGCGTGCTGCCCGTAACAAGCTTGTGGGGACGGGTTGTCCTGTATCGATTTGGACAAATTGAAGAAAGGTCAAATGAGCTTCCCGGTGATCCCGTGGACAGTATATTTGTTTTTTTTATTTCATGTGCCTCTGAGTCTAGGCTGTGCCAAGCAATTTGCGGTGCAAAAATCTTAATAAGAAAGAAAAACTCCATGATTTGCCAGTGGGCGCGATACCGCCTGGTTGCCCAGCCGAAAGCAGGTGAATTACGCTTGGGGAAATCACAACTGGAGCCTTCGGATAGTCATAGTCTGACCCGCAAGGCAACGGAGCGGTGTGTAAAAACCGCAGTCCATTAGGGCACTCTGGGTGGGTTGGTTGCCGAGAAATTGCAGAAACATAGAGCGGATGTACTATGCACATCAATCGAGGTGCGTTAATTTTGCACAACTGAGAACATTGCAGACCAGGGGCAGGACGGGTTTACCAGTTTGTCCTAGCACACAAATTATCCAAGTACTTGCCAGAAAAGCTGTGTTTATGTGTGCATCTATGAAAGCGCAGTTGTCAAACAAGTGCGTGGAGAACAAGGGACCGCGGTACAGTTGATGGAACCATTTTGGCTTTCACCCGATGCAATAAAGTTTTTGAAAAGATCCATAAATCAGTATACTTTTGCTCACGGATCAACATCTGTTTCTCTGTTCACTATGTAGGCTACAGAAATCGGTGCGGATTGTCCTGGTCTCATGATCAACGCCTCTCGTCCCACTCGATAGAAAGTGATGTTTTTCCTGCTGTCCAACGCGTTGCTTTATTTTCACTCTGAGAAAGCCGTGGAATGTCATCATCCAAAATGCTATCCACAAAGTGCTGCGCGTTCAATCTACTTGTATTGTTATGTTTTTTGCGCTACTTTGAGTTCTCCCCACTGCCACCACCACAGACTGACTGCAAATGTTGCAGTCACGTGACACTCGTGCGCGAGTGTAGACACCTGTTCTCAGCCCTCGCGATTGTATGTTTACGGGCAGTGTTTCTTTCAGTCTCTCCATTTGGGTCGTCCAATCCGGTTCTCTACTGTGATCAATCTGGTTTATATGCGTGTCTTCATATGCCGTTACATGCACCCTGGTTCTTCTTCTATAAACACCTCTATCACCTATTTGACGATCAAAACTAAATTCGTAAGGTTTTTACTGCTATCGCCTCTCATTTCCTCGCAAAACCTGGGCGGTTTGTACAATTATTGTAATGAATTAATTAAATATAATAACACTAGGCGCGTGTATCTAATGATCATTTTTCACAATTGGCCCTTTAACTTAAATCAGTGGAGTAAAAACAGGTTAGCACAATGTATCCTGGATCATTTCGCTGCATCTGTACACGTGCATACTGCAGTCTATGTGGTCATTGATGTACGGTGAGTAAATAACGGAATCATAGGCAGAGAAGGATCGCGGTCAAAATTACTCACCAAACACATTTGTTACCAAGGTAGCGCCAGAGTGGTAAACCATTCACGCTGTTAACACAATTTGGGATGATAATTTTGAATGGCTAGTGCCTCAGCGTATTTTAAAACCGTGGTCTTGTGTTGAATGCTTCGCGCAGCATGACACAGTGTTCCATTTCGACCAGGTGTTGTAATCGTCGAACTGAGTTTCCTACAGGTCATTGGTGACCTCATACTTCCGAAGTTCCCACTCTGTTTTCTGAAGCCAGAGTGAGATGTGCTCGGTTACTCGGTAACGCAGTTGTCTCTCCGTTCTGCCGATGTAGATGATCGTTTATCACTCTGGCGCTAGCTTCTCTACAACACAATACCACGGTTTTTAAGTACGCTGAGGCACTAGCCATTCAAAATTATCATCCCAAATTGTGTTAACAGCGTGAATGGTTTACCACTCTGGCGCTACCTTGGTAACAAATGTGTTTGGTGAGTAATTTTGACCGCGATCTTTCTCTGCCTATGATTCCGTTATTTACTCACCGTACATCAATGACCACATAGACTGCAGTATGCACGTGTACAGATGCAGCGAAATGATCCAGGATACATTGTGCTACCCAGAGTTTTTGGCTTCTGTGTTCAAATACATTACGGGGAAACTATGCTTCCAATTAAATCAATCAGTCTAATGTTGTTCAACCAAGTTGTCTGTCTGCACGAGTAGTACAAATACCAGCTTGGTCATCATATGGAGGTTATTCAAAGCTAGGGATTAAAACAGGGAACACCGTTTTCTGGCGTTTTACTTAATTTCACATTGCTTAAAAACAAGGTGCGCAAACTTGGAGCACGACGCCTATCAATGACGTTTATCTTCTAACGGCAGTTCCACGATTTCAATCCCACCAGTAACACCTCGGTTCCCATGACAAAGGAGTTCGTGTTATTCAGTCTTGCGAGCACTATCAGTTGAGACAGTTCAGTAGAATTTGTCACTGGGCCATGTGCGCTCAGTGGTCGACACTCGGGAGAATGTTTTTCTGATACAGTACAAGGTTTGAAAAGAGAAGCCAGTATAGCAACATTGCACGATTTATGTCCTGGACGATTTCGCTGCATCTCAACTGGTGCCTACTGCAGAAAAATACAATGTTTATATATGGTTTGGGAATGAATCACAAAATAAAGACTTATAAATGAGGGGGGAGGTGTCACCAAGGCAAAGCCAAGGTGATGAACAAGTCTTTTTGTTGACATAGAATTGGTTTCCATCGG